TTGGGGTTTTTTTTGGTTTTTTTTGTCCAGAAAACACCTGAAATTCGGTATTTTCTGCCCCCCCGAATGGGCAGGGCTGTGTTTTCTGAGCTGCTCAGAGGAGATTGTGACACCCGGCTGCTGCAGGGGGAGCTGGTCTGGGGCTGCGAGCTCTGACGGGTTTTTTTTTTTTTGGGGGCTGAGTCATCCCTGACGTCCCAAGGCAGGAGCAGCTGCCCCTCCCCAGCTGCAGGGAATAAATCAGGGATAAAGCAGGGATAAAGCAGGAATAAATCAGGGATAAAGCAGGGATAAATCAGGAATAAAGCAGGAATAAATCAAGAATAAATCAAGAATAAATGAGGAATAAACCAAGAATAAATCAGGAATAAATCAGGAATAAATGAGGAATAAATCAAGAATAAATCAGGAACAAATCAGGAACAAATCAGGAATAAATCAAGAATAAATCAAGAATTAATCAAGAATAAATCAGGAATAAATCAAGAATAAATCAAGAATAAATCAGGAATAAATCAAGAATAAATCAGGAATAAATCAGGAATAAATCAGGAATAAAGCAAGAATAAACCAGGAATAAATCAGGAATAAATGAAGAATAAATGAGGAATAAATCCAGAATAAATCAAGAATAAATCAAGAATAAATCAAGAATAAATGAGGAATAAATCAAGAATAAATCAGGAATAAATGAGGAATAAATCAGGAATAAATCAGGAATAAACCAGGAATAAATCAAGAATAAATCAGGACTAAATCAAGAATAAATCAGGAATAAATGAGGAATAAATCAAGAATAAATGAGGAATAAATCAGGAATAAACCAGGAATAAATCAAGAATAAATCAGGAATAAATCAAGAATAAATCAGGAATAAATCAGGAATAAATCAAGAATAAATGAGGAATAAATCAAGAATAAATCAGGAATAAATGAGGAATAAATCAAGAATAAATCAAGAATAAATCAGGAATAAACCAGGAATAAATCAAGAATAAATCAGGAATAAATCAAGAATAAATCAGGAATAAATCAAGAATAAATCAGGAATAAATCAGGAATAAATCAGGAATAAATCATGAATAAATCAGGAATAAATCAAGAATTAATCAGGAATAAATCAAGAATAAATCAAGAATTAATCAAGAATAAACCAGGAATAAATCAAGAATAAATCAGGAATAAATCAAGAACAAATCAGGAATAAATCAAGAATAAATCAGGAATAAATCAGGAATGAATCAAGAACAAATCAAGAATTAATGAGGAATAAATCAAGAATAAATCAGGAATAAATCAAGAATAAATCAGGAAGAAATCAGGAATAAATCAGGGATAAATCAGGAATAAATCAAGAATAAATCAGGAATAAATCAGGAATAAATCAGGAAGAAATCCCGTGGCCCTGGCGTTTGTCACAACTCCAAATCGAGGTGATGAGGTGTGACAGGACCG